ATATTTTTACATGTCTTAAAAACGGAATTAAAAAAGACATTCGTTAGACGTCTAAAAAAAGACGTATTTAAGAGTTGACTAAAAAAAACGACTTTATGACATCTTTAAGACATGTCTTAAAGACGTAATTAAAACAGACATTCGCTAGACGTCTGAAAAGAGACGTCCATAAGACTTGACTGAAAGGCGACTTTATGCCGTCTTTAAGTCATGTCTTAAAGACGTCTTCAAAAAAGACATTCGCTTGACGTCTAAAAAAAGACGTCCACAAGACTGGACTAAAAGACGACTTTATGACGTCTTTTAATCATGTCTTAAAGACGTCTTCAAAAAAGACATTCGCTTGACGTCTAAAAATAGACGTCCATAAAACTGGACTGAAAGACGACTTTATGACGTCTGTAAGTCATGTCTTAAAAACGTCTTTAAAAAAGACATTCGCTAGACGTCCGAAAAGAGACGTCCATAAGACTGGACTGAAAGACGACTTTATGACGTCTTTAAGTCATGTCTTAAAGACGTCTTTAAAAATGACATTCGCTAGACATCTGAAAAGAGACGTCCATAAGACTGAACTGAAAGACGACTTTATGACGTCTTTAAGTCATGTCTTAAAGACGTCTTTAAAAAAGACATTCGCTAGACGTTTTGAAAAGAGACGTTTGTCAAAAAGACGTCTTTGTGACGTCTTTAAGTCAAGTCTTAAAGACGTCTCTTTTGAGATGTCTAACAAACGTCTTTTAGACATATATGTTCTCTGGGTCAGATTTAATTGAAACACGAACTGCTGTATAAAATTCTAAATATAACGCAGACGCAGATTTATAATTTTTTAATCAAAATGTGCTTCTCCCGCCAATAACCGATGCCAGAATTGTCAAGACGCACTGACGCTGTTTCACTGCTGGCTTATAGAAACCATGTATACTTTGTAATACTTCGTATATGATATCTTGTTCTGCGTGCCGTACTCGTATATATCTGTCTCTACAAGCCGGTCGGTAAATAAAATCGCATTCCAGTTCTGGACTATCGATAATCCTTGTTGTCATAGGAGGATGTCTTTTTAAATTTAAGAAAAAAAAGGCCGACAGCCCAAGTAAAAAGACAAATTTGATCAAACAAAATTATCGTATTTTTAAGTACGATCCCACTCTTTAGATCGTACATCGTAAAAAGACCTAAATTATCGTATTTGTACGAGCAAAATCGTACGGTTGGCAACACTACCCTCAATCAGAGTCAAGCCACAGTATAACCAGTAGGTCCACTCAGCGAAAAACTGAGTCTTCGCGCAGGTATCGCCGCGCAACTTTTGTTTTGGGATCCAATGAAATGCAAGACGATAGGAACGTACATACATATGTACAGACAATTTATAAGCAATTACATCAGAAATTTTCTTTAGTGATCA